TGTTAAACTTGCCATCTGATTTTAGAATATTGGATTTTTAATGTATGATTTTGTGTAATTTCCACTAAAAAAATCTCAAAACATAAAAGCCCTACATTGTGAAGTTTCATTGATGTTCATCTATGCTGTTTTTCGATCCGTCTGCTTCTTCTTCATTCATATGTTGTTCTTCGATCCACCTGTGTCTTCGTTTGTGTCTGAAGAAGTTGTTCTGCTTCTGCATGTGCGTCTTGCACTTCGTTTGCATCCTGGTCTTTTCGCAACATAAACCTTAAGTTCCTCCTGTAGAATGTATTTGGTCTAGACTATTGACTCTTTGTTAAGGTGCGAGGAAATTTTGGACATTACAAATCTAGTGCAAGGATGTGTTATTTAGATTGTTTCTGTTGACACACAAAAAGTTCAGCCCAAGTCGAATAGTCTAAGGAATGAAGCCCAATTGGAAGATCCCCAAAATCAAATAGCCCAAAGAACGACCCAATCAGGCAATGCAGGATAAATGCCCAAATCGGGAAGCCCATGAACGCGGTAACACCATCGCCCAAGGTTACAAGTCGCCCAAGATTTGAGCGAATGGATTGCCATACAGTCGCCCAAAACTGTGCCCCTGTTCTGGCCCAAACCTTCGAGTCGCCCAGAATCTTAGCAAACGTAAGATGTTATGGTTACCCAAAGGTGCGGTTAATGAAGCAGTTATTGAGTAGCCCTATCACGTTCCACAATTTAAGGAATTCAATTGAAGACGGATGAACGACAAAAAGTAATGGCAGTAGTTAGAGAAGGCAGTTCCATGACAAGTTGGCCACTACGAGGAAAGTGGACAGTTATAGAGCGATCAAGCAGTTTTTAAGCGGTTGATCACGAAGAGATCATCCAGGGAGTATAAAAGGAAGAAAAGACATAGAGCAAAAGACCCCGAATCAAACACTCTCAAATAGAAATTATGTAACTTTAAATTTCTTAGTTTAGATTTAAACACTTCTTTTCAGTAACTCGTGTGCTTGCGCCCCTTGGAGGCATTCTATTTTTATTTTCCAATTGTAAAGTCATCGCCAATAAAAACACCTCTTTTTGGGACTTTGTCTCAAGAGGTTTGTCCCTTTATACAATCGTCTGATCCCTTTTTAATTGTTAGCGACTAACCCGCGCGAAACAATTTGGCACGCCCAGTGGGACAGTGGTGTTTGGTGTTGAAGATACAAAAGGTGAAACAATATGCCTCAGAGATCCGATAAGGAAGCAATAAGTCAGGGAGGAGTCAAGTCTGTGATTGAGCAATATGAGGAGCAGCATAGCTCTCCATGAACAGATGGACAGAATCAAAGCAGTAACAGTCGTTACAAATCAATGGCAAAGTTGAGTCCTCGAACTATGCGTGCACTACTTGGAGAACTCACACAAGATGTCGTTGAACAGGTAAATTTTCGAAATATTCATAATATGAAAAGATTTACCCAGAATGGGAATGCACATTATGACAACATGGCCAAACAATTGAGTACTCAGACTAACGGGATGGTGTAACGCCAAATCAGAATAATGGTAGTGGTACGCCTAACTTGGGGGGTAATCCAAATATAAGAGATAATGTCCTAAATAACGGGCAGAATACCCCACGTGTTAATGAGGGAATAAATGTTTAGGTTAATGGTAACAATGGCCCAAATCATGGTAACTTTATTCCTAATCAAGGACCAAATATCAGGCCTCAAGCAAATCAACCGGTCAACCAACTTGTAGGG